CAACAAACGCGGCGCAAGAAGGACCCACCAATTACGCATCATATTTCACGACGAAGGAAATCGCGCGGAAGAGATAAATTATAGGTCTATAGGTATGCGCATACGTCGACAGCAAAGAGGCCTCGGAAAAAAGCCTGCAAATGCGTCCCCACCGCCATTTAAATATCGATTTAGCCTGGCTGACGAGACCCGCGAATTAAGTGATCAAATCGAAAATCACTCGCGTGAAGAACGCATTTTTTTCAAGAGAACCGTCCCTGCCTACTTTTACGTTTGAAAAAAAAAAGAAAAAAGAAGGAGTAAGGCTTACGCTGAGTATTAATAGTGATGGAAGTGACTTTTTACTTTTCGGAACATACTTTGGAGCAGAAAAAGTACTGCTTCGGAGCAGCCATAAGTGTTTTCGGAGCCTATGGAAAACGCTAGTTTAGGGCAGCTATTAAATTTGCCATATATTAATTGGAGTTCAGAGCAGTGTCGCAAAATCTTGTAAATATCATTATTTCTTATGAAATATAGTTACCAGACAACAATCAATGCGAATTTCATGTATCAAACAATGGCAGGTTGTACAAAATGTGCTGTGAAATGAGCTACAATTCAAAACACTAGCATTTGTGGCAGAAATAAAATCAATAGCAGGAAAGCTGAGCACCATATTTTTAGAAGTAACCTCAGTACCATATAACTGTTTCAAACAAGCAGTAAATAATTGGTATGAGATAAAAGCAATCCCGCTCACTTTGGCAGTTCACCAAACTAGCCTGCATGCCTATCTGAAAAAAAAAAAAACAAGGAACAGACAAATGACCTATAATGCTTAACATGCCAGTTTTCAGGGCACAAATGAGATCAGAGCCGATAATTCTGCACACTAGTAGCCCACTGGGATCACAGTAGACCGATTCTTTTTCAGTTTCTTTAGAAACTTTTCAGTCGGTCAAACAGTCATTTCAGAGCAAGTTTGGAGCGATTGGAGCACGACTTCCATCACCGAGTATAAAGAACACAGATGCCACGCAGATTTTACACAGAGGTTTGACGGATTTGACATTTGTCCAAGAGCAGAGAGGCAACAGATTGGTATTGTGTATGCGAATTTGTATTCACCCAAGAAGACTCGAAAGGACTGCGAGACTACTTGTGGCAATGCCCTGCAATGCCCTTGTAGCAATTGAATATAATGCTTCTGAAAAATACTACAGACGTCATGATAAGCAGCTACTGCAGATGCGATATGTCATGAAGAAGGTACAGTGACTTACTTGTTTATTGACAGTAATTAATTTTTCTTAATTATAACGAATTAAGTTATGCCTCAAACAAAAATTCATATTTTTCTTAAAATGAACTGAGCAAAAGAACAGTAGAACCAATCAGCATTTTCTCGCAATTTTTTAAGGCATATTTTTCAGAGAGCATTCCAGGGTTAAACGAGTTCCGAAACACTTTGAAGGTGGCGGGTGTTCGGCGAAGCGTTTCTTTGAACATAAAAGCTTTTCAAAACTGCAATAAATCGGTGGAGACGACTACCTCGTTCATTAGCGATATAAAACGCAATACCCTTTACAAATGTGTTCTGCAGAATAGAAGACATCGCAAAACCAAGCTTTGGTAAGCCAAGAATATATTGCAGCAAGGGAGACTTTCACCCACAAACGGTTTGAACAATAATGAAAATAATCTCCTTTGGAAAAACCTTTCACATATTGCCCACGCGTGTTCACGTCTCAATTACGAAGTCATGCCTTGGCGATCAAGTGTACCCAGCCATTTAAGTTGTACGTGCAGTCATGGCTAATCAAAACGGCTTTGGGACGTTAAAGCATAGATATCACAAATTACCGATACTGCGTTAGTATGCCCCACGAGGAAGGCCGAACGACAGGGCTCGAAAGAACGCGCTACACGTAAGCGATAATACCGCTCCAACGACTCCCATAATTCCGCGTCGGCAGCGTAAATCTGACCAAGGCGAATAATGTGCTGCGCGGGTTGATCGGATTCCGAAGCAGCTAACACGACGGAACCTATTCGATGACGCCATCACTCGGTAACGAACAAAAGCAGAATAGTTTATATAGCTCGAGCACACGAAAGGAAGCGACTGCGCGGTGCGAAGCGTGGTCTAGTGCGAAGACACAAAAACACCGAGACACATAAGCGTTCTGCGACCCGATGGTCCTATTAGTTGAGCTAGGCAACCTTCAGGACAGCGTCGGCAGGCCCCGCAAACGTATATACAACATTCGCGCACACCACCAACGGCGTCATTAGCGAGAGATCCTACTGCGTCGTACACGATCGATAATTGCCCTCTCGTCCGCAGGGCGGCACCGGTTTCACTCCGCCACGACGGTGCCTCAGCGCGCTCTCTCTGTACGGTGGCTATTCCACCCGGAGCTGCATAATTGTGCAACACCGTTGCGCGACCAAACTTGGCATCTCGCGACGCGAATAGAAGACGAAGGTAAATGACACGTCGAAACATGGTGATCGTGACATGCGTGTTATGAGAAACATGACTATAGGTGCAACGCTTATATAGCGTGCTCGTGGCCGTTTCGCTAGCTCCACGCATGCGAAAATCTGGTACCACGTGACGTGAACGGACGACGAAGGTACACGACACGTTTCTAAACGTGATAATCTCCACACGGAAGTCACGTACGGCATGATTTACGTCCACCTCGTAACGTTGTGCTCATTTTGAAGTGGCATATCGATTGATTGATTTGTGGGGTTTAACGTCCCAAAACCACCATATGATTATGAGAGACGCCGTAGTGGAGGGCTCCGGAAATTTTGACCACCGGGGGTTCTTTAACGTGCGCCCAAATCTGAGCACACGGGCCTACAACATTTCCGCCTCCATCGGAAATGCAGACGCCGCAGTTGGGAATCGAACCCGCGACCTGCGGGTCAGCAGCCGAGTACCTTAGCCACTAGACCACCGCGGCGGGGCAAGTGGCATATCGAGCTCCCCTCATTCTTGCTTCGCATATCATCGATTCCCACAGTACGTGGGAATCTGCCAATTTTTCGAGCTGTTAACATGGGACGTTTCGACTAGTGGCAGATTCTTCTTGCATGTTATTATGCGCACGTGATGGTTTTATAGTCTTATTTCTTTTTTTCAGCGATACGTTTATTGGAGTAACAAACTTACGGTTGTTCGTCAACGCTTGTGTGTCGTGCTAATTCTTACTTTGTCCCATTTTCGCGCTGTTTTCCCCTGAGTACCTTCAAAGCTTCGAAAGCATGGAGTTGCACCTCCGAAGAATCGAGTGTGAGACGCTCGAGAACGTTTCAAGACGATGTCCTCGAAGGCGTCCAAGACGCTGTGCAAACACGATTGCGACAGCGTCGTGCAAACGCTCGGGGCTGGGCCGTCAGCGCCGGCTTCGAATGCGCGACGAAGACAGCAGCCGCCGCCGCCGCAGCAGCAGCAGTTAAGGCATGGGACAAGGCAAATCGAAGGCGACCACGAGGGATGACGAAAGAGACGCTCATAAACGGGGCGAAAAGCATAAACTCGTGCGCCTCTCGGAAGTTCCGTGCAGATCGTGTGGGAGAAGGCAGACCAGCCTCGCGACAACCAGATTTTCATTTATTTACATAAACATATTACCAATGTTATTTGTGGTTAAACGTCCTAACACCACCATATGATTATGAGAGCCGCTATAGTGCAGGGCTCCGGAAGTTTCGACCACCTGGGGTTCTTCAACATGCACCTAAAATCCATGCACACGGGCCACAAGCATATTCGCCTCCATCCAAATGTCATCGCCGCGGCCGGAATTCGCCTGGGACTCGGTTGCTCACCTGCGGGTGTGAACAACCGAGTGCCTTAGCCAAAAAAAGACCACCGGGACGGGTCATAAACCCCCTCGATCTCATTCCACGTAAGCAAATGAAACATCCGACAGAGCAGTGATTGTAGCTGGCGCTTACCGCATAAGAATCCGTAAAAGGGGGAAAAAAAACGTAAATACCCGTTAAAAGGAAAACGAACAAGCTCCGTTAACGGGCATTCTTTTTTTTTTTTCTAGGCAGCGGTCTCGGCAACCAATTTACACATCTTCGGGTAAATTGTCCTCCCTAAACTAACGTGCAAGGCGACCCAAGAGCGCGCTGCTTCGTCCACGCTGCACCGAACTAACGGACAACGGAGCCGCAGAACGGCATCGAGAGAACAAAATGGCGTTTTCGTTGTCGCTTTTGCGGGAGACTTGCGGGCACGCACGCCAGCCATGCGCATAACCGCCCGTTCTGTGACGGGAGACCCTAGAGCGCGCAAGACGCGCAACCCGATTGGCAAACACTTTTTTTTTTTTTTTTTGAGCGAGACGTATAATACACACACACAGTCGTGCCGCTTTCTCCCTTCAAACCGCACCCTTGATACAAGCCTGCCGCGGCGGAAAAGAGCAAAGAAAACGAGGACGAGCTCCTCTTCCTCTCTGTCTCCTCTCTCCCGTCAGGGGAGTCGATGACAGCCGTCAGTTAGCGCTGCATCACGGTGGTTCAAGAGGCAACGTGACGTCAGCGCCGTTCCCGCGCGAGTTTGTATTATGCGCGCGCCTACCTCGTCAGCCCCAGCGCCGAACTCACTCCAGTGCAAGAAAAAACCAAGTGTGAAACCAAAGTGTGTTTTTTTGCTTTACCTTTCTTCAAACGCCTTTCGGGGCATGACCTCCGAGATTGGAAAGCGTGTTCTTCGCGTGCAGCGTAACGTCTCGGAGGCCAACGTTCTGCACGTGGGTTCACGTCGAGCCTGTTGGAGCGAACGAAACCGCGCGCGCCGCTGCTATAGTTAATCCGCGTGAAAAATACCATTCCGCAAAGCGTTTCGCTCGTGTCCAACTCTGAATATATTAAAGGGAGGAATGTCAGGATTGTAGAGATGGCCCGAACAAGATGGTAAAGGTAAAGATAAAAAATAAAGAACGAGACGGAGACTAGACCGGCTCGAGGATACGATAAACAGCACTTACGTGGAGAGCGAGAGTACTGGCGGCGTCCATTTGGATGCACGGAAAGTTGCAGTGGCTGCAGTGACGACGACGAGGTAAAAAAAAGAAAATCAGTGCGCCGGTGGTCGCTCTCTTATCAGCGCCTGCGAGACAGCCGAAGGAAAAAAAAAAAAGAAGCGAAGTTCGTGAGAAAATTGCCGCGAGGCCAAACACGTAAAACGAACTAAAACAAGAACACTTAAAATTTGACTGTGCAACGCAGGTAGCATACACTTTCGGTCACAGAAACACACAGATGCGATCAAGTAATGACAGTGCGTACGAAGCGAGAAGAAACTCGCAAAATAAACCAAAACAGGAAAAAAAAAATACTCGGAATAGATAGCGGGATGCTGGCAGCATGCACAGTTCAGCACGCAGAAAGCACAGGAATGAGATTACGCGATCACAGTGCGTCAAATGCGAAAAAAAAAAACTAAATTTAAAAAAAGCACGTTAATTCGAAGGGGTTGCGAAAGGCTGAAGGAAATCAAGCGGCAAAGAGATCGAGAAAGAAACAAATCTAAATTTAAAAAAAAACGTGAAATTGAAGGCGTTGCGAAAGGCTAAAGGAAATCAAGCGGCAAAGAGCAGGAGAGGAAATTTTACAATATTATTCAGCATATTGTTGCAACACCATAAAATCATTCGTACCAGGGCTAATCTTGCAATTTACACGCAGAACCTATACATAATGGCACTGAATGAAAACAAGAAAGCTGAATGCTTGCAAAACGATAACAAATATCACTTGTGAAAAACAACAATAATTAATTTTCAATCTTTGTTTATCTTAAGTTTGCAGAGTACCGTTTTCAAGAAAATTAACGCCAGATGACGGCAGGAGGGTGACATTTCAAGAAACCCGAAACCTGCACAAAACAACGATCAAAATACAGTATTGCCCAAAGTCAATTTATGACCCAACCTAACTAACCTATTTATCACTACAAAAAAAAAAGATATTTGTGGTCACAGAACCACGGAAGAAAACGGGCCACAGAAGAGAAACTCGTAACACGGGAGCAGACTTGGAACATATGTTTGCGATTACCCGAAAGCGAGAATATGCATCCAAGCGATGACGCATATTCTTTGACATATCTGGCTATACATTTCACATTCGCGCATTATAACACATGTTGCCAATCAGCGGCCGTGTAGTGTTTTTGTGTGTGTGTGTGTGTGTGTGTGTGTTTGTGTGTTTGTTTGTGTGTTTGTGTTTGTGTGTTTGCGTTTGTGTGTGTTTGCGTTTGTGTGTGTTTGCGTTTGCGTTTGCGTTAACGCGCGCGCGTGCGCGCGCGCGCGCGTGTGTGTGTGTGTGTGTGTGTGTGTGTGTGTGTGTGTGTGTGTGTGTGTGTGTGTGTGTGTGTGTGTGTGTGTGTGTGTGCGTGTGTGTCCGTTTAAAGTCGCACGGTCGATTATCCACTTATCTAAACACGACTATATGTCGAACGCAATGATCTTGTTTTTTGGTTTATTTTTCAGTTGATTGTGTCGATCCCCCTCCGCCCTCTTGAAATCTTCCTGCACTAAACGCGGTTTTGCAGCAACTTCGCGATCAGCGCAGATTTTACTAAGTTATGTCATAATGGCGTGATCACATGACCTTTTATTAATTGTTTACACCTCTCCGTGTAGACGATGACCGCTTTTTCGCGTGTGATCAGGCAACTGAGGCGTTCGTATTTAAAAAAAGCAATTAAAAATATACAGCAGATGACAGCAGGAGGGCGACATTTCAAGAAACCCGAAACCTGGTCGCGTATGCATACTACACGTTACAGCGAAAAGGCGAGGCGAGAGTACGGAACCAAAGCAGCACAGACGTTCAGTTTCCTCTGCTAACCCTGTCGAACCCGCCGTGCCCTAACGAACGCACCCGATTCGCTCCACGAGACTCGATTAATCACGGCTCCGTTCTCGGCCGAAACTGCGCCCCAGAGCGACAAGTGGTATATAAAGCGAGATAAGCGGCCAACAACTCCGACGATGCGGACACAGTGATAAACGTTGCAACGGCAAAATCCCATTAACTCGAGGGTAGCGGGCGAGTTTTTTTTTTTTTCGGCGTTTGGAAATAACGGAATACGTGCGAGAAACGGCCAGATATTGCTCAATCAAGCGTCGCTGCCTCGGAATTACTGTAACGAGTCGCACACTTCTCGCACCCTCCACCTCCGCAATCCACACACACGAGATCCTGGTCCCCGAGAAGGCGGCGGTGGCAACAACTCATTAAGGAGCGAGTTCCTCCGAACTACGAAACAAGGCGTACCCATTATAAACTTCCTCGCTCGTATTTTCCAGTGAAACACCTCTCTCTTTCACTCGGGTAGAGCTCCTACCGTCTGCTAAACGCCAAAAACGCCTCAGATCCCACAAGGTGCAAGCATAAGGCGATTCCGAGTCGGAAGCGTATAGAGAGAGAATCAGTAGCAAAAGCGGCAAGGTCTCGGCGCTGCCGGGATGAAAAATGTCCCCGCCTTCGAGGGGGGGGGGGGGGATGTAGGGAACAAGGCAAGGCCTAAAAACCGCAGGTGGGGAGTTACACGGCGGACTCCGTACAGCGGGAGGCGAGTCGTTCGCGGTCACGTACTGCATTATAAATAGGGTCACGGAGCGCCGAGGAACAAAAAAAAAAAAAAAAAAAAAAAACGGCCTCGCCGGCGAGGCCGCCGGAGAAGGACGAGACCGCAGTGGGACGCTCGTCGACGAGTCCCGACTCGCTCTCGTTCTCATCCTCAAACTCTCGTGTCTCCGCTCCCTCCCTTCCTTCGTTCCCGCGAAACCACCACATTCACGACACACGGACACAGCTAGAAAACACACGGCGCACCAAGAGTGGCGTCCTACAAAATGCCAAGGCAGGGAGGGGGAAGTGCAAAAAATGCGAGTGCGGCAAGCTCGGAACCCTATATTACGGCGGTCCTCTTCACCTATCGCCGCGCTTCATATTGAGGTCATCCCAACCCACCCTCTCTCTCTCTCAAAAGAAAAAGAAAAGCTTAATAATAAGAGCAAATAAAAGAGGAGTGGTACGGAAATGAAAGCCTGCGGGAACCGCCGCAGTTCGCGGAGGAATATCATTACAAGAGTCGACGCGAAAGCGATAAAAACTGGGGTGTGTCGCTTCGCCGTCGGAGTCGGGAGCTGCGCGGCAGAGTCAACCCTCGAGCTACAAAAGGAGACCAAACAGCTCTCTCCCTACCCAGCGCGCGCGCGAGCTGGGGACCCGCGCTTTATTAGAAGCGAGATCGTTTTTTCATACGCGAGCTTACGGCGCGTTGTAATATCCCACGTGCGCGGATCCTGCGAGCACGGACTCGTGGTGCATTCGGCTGCCTAACGTCCCGTTAAACTCGATTTGCATACGCGTCACATTGTGCGACTCGCGGTATCCCCTTCCGTCATAATAATAAGAAAAGGAAAGAACGCTGTTCTAGCACTAAAGCTCGCCCACGAACGCAATTTCGACATGTCGGAAAAGTCGTGCAAGTTACCGAAGTTCCTAGAAAACTGCCATGGCGTGGGCAGTTACTCCCTAAAACTCCCTTAAAACTCCCTAAAACTCCCTTAAAACTCCCTTAAAACTCCCTTAAAACTCCCTTAAAACTCCCTTAAAACTCCCTAAAAAGACGAGGACGCACGAGTTTTACCTTAAAGAGCAGAACGCGATAGCGTAGTCATGTACCGGGCGTATCGCCTTCTCAATCATTCACCTCACTTTCCCTTCTCGGAGGACATCTCAACCGCGACGCAAGGAAAGCGTCACCTGCGCGCGTAACATTGGCAGTTTCCAACTATATTGCAGCGGGTCTATACTGCGAGTGGAATCGCAAATTGTGGTGTGGTTCAACAGCGCCACAATTGTCCCTTTCGCGAGTAGGCGAACTAACCACTACCACACATTCGTCTTTTCCCCTGCTACCATGCCTGCCTTGCCATACACGTTAAGGTCGCAAGGGACCACGCCACCGATCTCAGAGGCCGTGCCAGTGTGTGCTTGAAATAGTGGCGAGAGCCGCTAGCTGAGTCGGCATCATGTGCCGGCTACGAGAGAAAACTGATGACGTGTGTATGCACGCAAAACGAACGCCAATTCAATGCATTCGGTAAACTGTCGAATTTCGCCACGAATATAAAATGTTGGCATGTCTTCAGCCAATCAGAGGCACCGCAGAGGTACTCTGGACTAATAAGCGTGGAAAAATCGGACAACAGTCATGTAAAAAAGGGGCGAGGGGGAGCGGGCTATAGTTCTACGGCGGTGAGAACCGTCAAAGAGAGCTGTAAGAGCGTGAGTGTATTGACAGGCTTACAAGTTCACGTGCATCATCATCGCCACTATCATTTAGCGTCAACGTCATAATTTCAGTGAACATCTCCCCCTCCTCACGACACTTGCTTGACTACTACTACTACTACTACTACTACTACTACTACTACTGCTGCTGCTGCTGCTGCTGCTGCTGCTACGAGGACGACGACGACCACCACCACGACACAAGGCAAACTCAGTTTCGCTGTAAAATTGCAATCCCGGTCGCCACGACGTCTCATTCCGAACCACGTGGTGTAAAATAGCAGCCATCGAAAATGAGACATCTATCGCGAAAAAAACAGGTTCCTTCGATAAAACACTCGACGAGCTGCTGCCAACGCAGTCGACTGCGGACTGCCGAGCAATGCCGCCGCAGCAGGAGCAGTCCTGCAAAAGCAAAATTCAGAAGAACACAAGAGGGGACTTTCACAAAAACGCGGTGCCCGTAAAGATAATCCGGCAAGCACGAGTCGAAGCTACAGGCTACACGCCAGGTCGGCCAGAGATAAGAATCTCACTTTCGCTCGCTCCGTCTCTGAAAAAAGTCCCCAGCAGCGATAGTATAAACGACAGTATAAGAGGGCCAGCGATCTGTAGAGATAAGAGAAACTGAAGCGAATGAAAATAAAACGCGCCGCATCGTTAATCACGACCGCAACTGCATCATCAAAGGGATCAGCGCGGTCGCACTTTACGAGGGGACGGGCGATAAAATAAGAAGAAGAGGAGGAGGAGGAGGAGGAAAAAGGCCTGGACGGCGGGTGCCGAGG